CATATTTACTGAGAATTGACTTATGCATTTAATGTCAAGAGATAAATTCTGAAGATCAAGGAGCAATGCTATCACTCTTGCAGGATAATCCTCGAGGTTGGCATGATATAAATACTTTACACAATGATCATTCTTGTGTAGTTTCACATGCATTCATAATAGGAGGAATAAAGGTGTAACATCTCCCTCTCCTGATTCATTTATTTTAATGCAACAATAAACATAAAGGTGGGCACCTAACCCAGTCCAAAGGACATGATAACTGGGCCAAACTGTAAACATAAGCAGGAGCTAGCCACAAAGAGATCAAGGGGGAAGAAACATCTTAAGTATGTAGATCATTGTGCTTAGATGATAGACCAGATTTTGAGTCATGACTGGCAGTTGATCACCTTTCTGTAAGATCCTTCCACACAATGAATGTCCTGTGTGTTGAAGGTGAAGAATATTTCTGAAGATGATACCATGTTCTCCCATTGTTTTTGCCCTGCATTTCATGTAAACTAAACCAAAGGGCTGTAAACTATGACCCAGGTGCCAAATTCAGTGCATGACTCGTTTTTGTAAATAAAGTTTTATTGATATACAGTCATGTCCAACGGTTCTTTACTATCTATGACTGCTTTTACACTATAAAGGCATAGTTGAATAGTTGTGATAGAAACTACAAGGGCCTTGAAGCTTAAAATATTTACTATCTGAACTTCATAGAAACTTGCCAGTCCTTGCTGTAGAGCCATCTTCTCAGCTGTCACCGCCATTGGTCATTTGAACTCAGGAAAATGTGGTACCTTAAAGGAAATTCATGCCCAAAGAATTCATTCACTAAGAAGGAATAAGTGAAGTTCAGGAAAGGCAGGGACTAGAGTTAGAGGGGAAGGACATGAATGAAGGGCCTGGCAGGACAAACTTCCTGGTCAAGGACTTACATCACTTCCTGTGCCCAGTGAGGTAAGTCTGATAAAGGAGGAAACTATGAAGATTCTGTGGCTGGTCAGAGGATGAATTCTTTTCACAGTAAGATTGCTTCACTTTTTTTGTAAAAAATGTGCAGCATTATACATTACCAGATTTACAGGATGATTGGTAAGAGTGGTTTTTTGTGAAGCATAATCATAGAAGAGGAAGACTACACCTTAGGTCTTTCAGCTGAGAAGTCACATGCAATTCAAATCAGAGCTGACGTCCCTCCATGGGACTGAAACACCCTGAAGTAGAGAACATAATCCACAGCCCACACAGCTTCCGGACCCCTCTCTCTGGCAGCCTGATGATTAATGTGTAAACCAGAAAGACGTTTCCTTGACTGCCGTAGAGCCCCGTGAGTACAGTGAAGTCAATAAATATTTATTGAATGTATTTTCCTAAGCCTTGCAGCACTTGCTCAGTGATATCTTCTAATCAAATAAGAAACAATTGTTCATGGTAGTTTCAAATAAATATATAAATGTATGTTAGTGGAACCCAAGGTAGAAAAGGCGAACAAGAAACAAAATACCCACCCATCGGGTTCAAGTCAGCCACATGGTACTAGCCTTTCAGAAAATAGAGAAATGTATTACACAAGCCCCAGAATTGAGGGTTGCAAAAGTGAGAAAGGAGGAAAGAAGAAAGGGAAAGGGGAAGAAAAGGAGATTTATAGATGGCTTGAACAAATAAGAATATATCTATTTTTAAAGCCAAATTATTTTTTATTGTCTGGCTTTATATGTGTAATACTTTCATCTGTCAGTGAAATGGTTCCTACACTCAAAGAATGGCAAACAGTTAACTGAAATGGGTTCCCAAATTGCAGTTTTTGCAGTAAAGATAAAATATGGCTCTCTGCCACCTGTTTGGAGCTATGGCACCAATACACTGATGCAATCCCCCTTAAGCACCGTCACATTAGATTTGAAGTAGTGTAGCACCAATTTGGGTATGAGGATGGTATTAGGATTCATTTATTTAAGATTGAGCATTATCTCAAGTTAGAAACAAATTAAAATCTTGCATCGAGGATAATATTAAAAGAGGGCAATGTAATTCCCACTCTCTCCCCTGTGCATCTTCTATAAGATCTTCTGAAGTCTGGGAATGCACATTCACCTGTGACAGCAGAAGCCTAAATGGTGCCAGAGGTGGTCTTAGTCACTTTCCACATTGTGGGGACAAAAAAGCCAAGAGAGTGAGTATCCAGGAAGGGGGACAAGTACACCCTTCCTGGTCACACCCCAGTGACACACCCCTTCCAACCAGATGCCACCTCCTAACAGCAAGGCAGCTGTGTCATCCCCATAACTCAATCCCCTTCTAAAAGCTCCACTATCGATGCACTATGCCTTTGAGGAATATTCTCAATCTATGCCACAACAGAGGTGAAATAAGGCACCTTCATGGCTGCCTGCCCAGCTTTGGAGGGGGAAAATATCTTGCCTTTAGGAAACAATGCAATAAGCAATCCTACAATTTTAATGCAAACACCCAAAGAGATTCTAGCTCTGACCTTCCAGGTCTAGCCCTTCACCCAACTGGAACAAAAGGTAAAGGCAGTGGTCTTGCAGGCATGAACCCATTGGCTCTGATTCTGGGGTGGCTCTGCTTACCACCATCCCATGGCTAGAAAGGAAACTAAGTCTCCTTCACTGTCAGGCACCAAGGATGACACAGGTCCAAGAGAGAAGTCAAGATCTATTAGGGTTCCTGTCAGAAGACTACCCCAGAGATGAAAGATCATCATCTAGTCCGTGGTGTACCAAATCTTTCCTATGGTGTCCTGAGCCCTATGGCTATGGCAGTACCTATAGACTTTTGTGGTAACCTAGAGATGATGGACTTGATTCACAGTGTCTTCAGAATTCTCTTTGTCTTGTTGGCATCATTCAGACCATGCTTGAATGACAGGTTTCATTGCCCTGTTACTCAACCAGGGCAATATACAAATGCATATGTACTACACTACTACTCCCTCACCCATATCTTCTCCAATTCTTTTCTTCAATCCACTCTCCTGACGTTAAGACTACCTTCCTATTTTGCAAAAGAGGCCAAGGAAAAGATTCATTGGAGTTTTTTCTTGAGAGTTAGTATGACTTCTGATTGTCTATTTAAATGCTGACCAGAAGCATCACTCTAATATCCAGCCTCTATGTACCACTTTTGGTATCAATGCTCTAAAGGACTAGAGAAGGAAAACCCAGCTTTCTAGCACAGAAAAATGCAGAACAAGGAATTATAAGGCTTAGAATGATAAAAGGATGTTCAGGAAAGGTTTCAGCAAGACAAAGCTGTCAAGCTTTTCAGGAAGTCGGATCTAATCATAACCCAGAGGAGAGAAAAGCCTCTAAAGTCTAAATGCTTCCTGCCCTTGGAGCAGGATGCTCAGCAGGTTACCCCAAAACCAGCTGAGCACACCTCTGTAAGCCCTCCCAATGGACCACCTGCCAGGCCAACACTTGATTACCTCTGCTGCTTCCCTAAGGCCCTCAGGTCCTGATCAGATTGGCACTTAAGGTCGCTTATCCTCCTGTCAGGTTTTATGGGTGCTTATCGATGCATCTTGTTTCCCTGCAGGGAAAATAAAGATGCTTATAGTCCAGAAGGAAATTCTGTGCTCTACACGCAGCAGATACCCGGGGAAAATTTGTTGAGTGCATGCTGAATGAAATCACTTTACATGTAACCTTGGCCCCAGTTCTTGCCCAGAGGTCCTAGGAGTCTGAAGAATACAGTGAAAAAATTATGTGACATTATTGGAGCCAGCTAACAGCTGTGCTGCTATTTGTCTGTGGATTTTTTGAAGTCTCCATTGACCTTTCAGTCCCATGGAGGCCAGACTTACTTGCATGTCAGATAATCAAGTGTGTGATTCTGAGATTTTGTCAAATAATATTCAAACCCCGGGGGCTATATAAAATATTCCTACTCTGAAAATAAAAATGCATGTTTCAAGAGATGAATTTACACTTTGCAAAAATACACACAGGGAGATGTCTTAAAATGGAAGAGGCAGAATTGATGTGCTTATAATTGATAGGAAATGCTAATTGCAATATTTGTTATTCTTCAAGTCTCTATTGCATTTCAGAAGCGGTGCATATATTCAAGCATGTAGACCCAACTCATTCAAACAGTACCCTCCTGTGCAGGTCCCAGGAGCAAGAAATGGCTCCAGCCTCAAAATTGTCATTCACTGTGTTCCTCCCTTCCTACAAGGCATCATGCAAGCTGGCCTTTCCTGTTCTCAAGTGTGTCCATTTCAGCTTGTCATTCTCTTCACAAAGCATGTATACTTAACCCCACACTAACTCTGCAACATTCAAAGAGGTGATGAGATTCTTCCAGGAGCTGTGGGTTTCTGCTTCAGGCCACTGTTTTATCACAATCACTCATGTCCTCTGAAATCATATAAACTGATACAGAATTACTAACCTTTTACAATGCCACACAAAGTCTAAAAGCTACTGCAGTAATACACCACTTAACAACAGAGGCATGTTTTAGGAAATTCATTTGCTTATTCCATACTCGTGCTGACATCCTAGAGCACATTTAACACAAACTATGATGGCTAAGATGTCATTAGTAATATATTTCTTGGTACCGCCATCATACACATGGTCTGTCTGTGACCCAAGTCTAATTATGGGGCACATGACTGTGTTACTATCACCAGTACCCTTTAACCCAAAAAGGATGAAAGACAGCCTCTGTGTCGAATGCATTTACAATCTTGTCCTTATTTTTCTAGTTCCACCATAAGCTTCTGACCTGTACTTAGCTATCACGTCCTCAGCACAAGCACCTCAGATATGAAAATGTATCTCCTGAAATGCTGCTAGATGGATATTCAAATTCTTTTTAAAAATTTAGCAGACTTTTATTTTGGATTTAAGCAATGTATGTCATCCATTATAGAGCATGAGGATAAGATATGAAAAAGCATTCAGAGAACAGTTGTCAAAATCATCAGGAATTAAAACATACCAGACCAGAACACTGTCCTTTCTTCTCTGTTCCAGGTACATGGCCATCATCCACCCCCTCCAGCCCCGGCTATCAGCCACAGCCACCAAAGTGGTCATCTGTGTCATCTGGGTCCTGGCCCTTCTGCTGGCCTTCCCGCAGGGCTACTACTCAACCACAGAGACCATGCCTGGCAGAGTCGTGTGCATGATCGAGTGGCCCAACCACCCCGACAAGATTTACGAGAAAGTGTAAGTAGAAACTCATCCCCGCTCAGAAGCTACTGTGAGGCAAAGGCCTTCCTGGCCCTTTCTTGCCGTGCTTTCTTGCCATATTCCCTGACAGTTAGGATTTAACGTGTATTTCTAAACATTTCTCACACCCACTCTGATATCATGTTAATGTGTCTACACTTATCAAGGAGTTATTTACTTGAATTACTATTCTGGGCTTTGAAGGAGAACTAAGAACTGGAAGACCTGGACCCTATTAGAGGAGACCATTTGACTGGCCCACTATGTCCCTTAGGCCTTTAGCAAAACATTTTTCTGCCAGTATCTGCATTTTCTCTCCAGGGACCTTTGTCCTTAGCCACAGAGAACCACTCTGTCCTCCTCTCACCCTCGGGAGAGGCATGTCTCCGAGGTTTGTGCTTTACACGGTGCTCAGGGTTTCCTCCTGACAGCCAGCTCCAGGTACCCAGGGTAGCTGCTTCCACAGAGTCTGCATGACTGGACACCATCCTTTTTATGCCCTCCCCTCTACAGTGTTTCTTTCTTCTCTCAAATAAGGTACTTGCATTCAAATCTTTTATCTCAGATTCTGCCTCTGGGGAAAACACCTACCTTCCGGTATTTTCCAGTAAAAGAATATCACAGTACATGTGAAAGGCATGGGAATGCAAGGCCAGTTCACTATAACCTTAGGACCTACAGAACACCTACCAGGCAGGCCTGCTTATCTTCCAGAGAGGGGCTGGTCACAGTGAGAGCTTTTCAAAGTATCTTGACAATTTTCTCTAATACTTCTTATCCTAGCAGCAACACCGAAATGGCTTATTCTTTGCTTTGCTCTGCTCAAGTGAACAACAATGTGACATTTATATTACTATTAGTTTTCTGGACTCAGCACGTGGATAAAATGGATCTTGCTGAAAGCCTTCTATGATTCCCCAGTCTTGGGTTTATTCTATGAATCATAAAGCAACTGTAGACAATCAGAGTTTTAATTATTAGATTGCCACAAGCCATGTGACCCTGGGAAGGGAAAACAGCCCCTCTTTCTTACTAAAATGGAAGATAATAAAGCTGCTTCCTATAAACAATTGTTATGAAGATCAAATGAGATCACGTATTCTCACTGTGAAAGCTATTAAATGCCACACAAAACTTGTGAACCAAACTCATTGGATAACAATAATTGTGTGGCCTTTAAATTTATTAAATGTTAAAATGAGACACTATATCTGTCATGCCTCCAAGATTTGATGGTCTGAGAGCCTATCACACACAGGGTTATACTGCCACATCTGTGCCTTGGAGTGTGGAAATGTGGCTTGCCAGGAAGCAATACATAAAGCTCAGACATCTCCTTCCAGACACAGAGAGTGGGATTTAATCGATCAAGCCGCAGGGGGATGAATGCTCAGCCTAGAAGGAAGCATTGAAAATTATTCTTTAAAATGAAACTACAAGCCTGAACAAGGTCTCGGTGAGAGAAAAAACATAGTTTTACAAGCCAAACAGGGTCTGTAAACATGATTGAGCCAGAAGGTTTCCCCAAAAGGGGAAGAAATGAAACACCTTTAAGTTAAAATTCCTCATATAAACTGCTTCAGAAACCTCCATAGACAATACGATCTGTGGCTCTGGTCCTAGTTGTCATGATCTTTTCAAAGTCTGATCAGCTTTCAATAATTTTCATTTCAAAATACTCATCGCTCTTTGACAACAAATTCAAAGTTTAACTTGGAAGTAGATTTATTTTCCCAAAGATCTCTGAAGTCCTGGCCAAGAAACAGTGACATTTAGAGGCATAATGAGGCAGGGGACTAGAGCATGGCAAAACTGGCTAGAGAAGTAGGCATGACCTGTTAGTTACAAATCCCAGGACACACACGCAGGACGGTTCCCCCAGCCCTGTGAGGGCACTTCTCGCGGGTTTTCAATAGGACGGCCGGGACCTGAGGTCAGCCTGAAGAGTGGGGGATTCAAAAAGGGCAATCGATGTGGAGCTCTTAGGGGCTATGTTCTCTCATAGAGGCCGGCTCTTGGCCTGCACAGTGTACTTATTTTCCTGTTTTTACTTGGCCTAAACTCACTCTGCAGGGCCTGCTTCTTTCCACACCTTTAATAAGTACAAAACCTTACTATCATTTGTGCTTGTCCTTACCGATCCTTCGTTTGGCACAGAAGGAATCTAGAACCACCTCTGAAAGGAGTCTCCAGTACTCCAAAATCTGGTAACAATGTTTTTGAACTTTGGGTATTTTATACTTATTAATGACTAGAATAACCCCTTCGAGACATAGCACAGTGCTTTGGATTGTCTTACTCCTTTGCTTTGAGAGTTAGCAGCTGCTGCTAGGTGGTAAGTGTTGCCACTGTTGCTTATTTTATCATCCTAACCTGAAAAGCAAGCCTGGCTTATGAGCATCTTCCATCTTCTTCTGTCCGCTCAAGACAATAACGTGTTTATTGATAGAATAGTAAGACCATTCACATATTGATGGGTGGAAACCTAGGTGAAATACATAGCAAAACTTTGTTCAACCTTATTTTCTTTTGGTAGTATCCTTCACAATGCATTGTGCTATATTTTTAGGGCATGTACATTTTACCATGTCTAAGCCAGTCATTCTTGTCTTTCAGAACTAATGATTATTACTTCCAGGCAGGCGCTGTGCCACTGAGCTATATCCCTGGCCCTGATTATCATTTCCATAGTACACGATAATCACAAATGTGAAACCAGATGGAAATTTTGTTTTAAGGCAATATAATCATTAGGGTAAGAGTGTAGGCTCCGTAGTTAAGTGAGAAATCCACCCCTAGCCCCGTCACGCTCCAGTTTAGTCCTAAAAATCAAGTAATTTAGGCCTCTAAGATGAACACTACATTCTACATAATGACGGTGAGAAAAGTAAATAAAAGAACCAACATGAAGTGCTCAGCCCAGTGTCCTGACGTGGTAAGGTCTGGGGAATGTTACTAGCTTCATTCATCAATCTGGATCCACCAGCAAATGACTAGTAGCAAGTAGTGTAGCAGGCAGATGCTCAGGCTCAATTTGTCTGATGGATAATTTGTCCCAGCTTATTATAGAAAAGCATTTTGTGAAAAATCATAGATTGCTACAAATGCCTTCTGGCCACGTAGGAAGCCTCCAGCCCTGATCATGCACCATTCAGATTCTCCCTTAATCCATGAATTAAATGAAGCATTATAAAGGATAGGCCACCCAATAAAAGAATAAGCAAAAGCAAGCACCTAACACACACACACACACACACACACACACACACACACACACATGATCATAGAAAAAGTCGTATAACTTTATTTGTCTAAGTCTTTGGAAAATACTTGTATAGTATCTAGAAAAGGAACAGCTATATAAAACCCATAACTCAGAGGAGAATGGGGAAAGGACAGAAGGAAAAAGAAAAAAAAAATATATATATGTATGCACACACACACACACACACACACACACACAAGAGAGCTAGTTACTCTTAGTTCATTGAAAAGAAAGGTTTGTGGTAATATTATTTGGACAATATTTTATGACTCTATCTTGTACTCTGAACAACTATTATGAATATAACAATGTGAAATGTATTAATTACTGTTACTTTTCTACTGTCCTGTTTTCAAACTGTTTTATTGTCATTTTTATTTTTTCTCTTTAAAGAAAATAAAAGGAACCAAGAACAAAAAGTATTAATTAATTACCTAGAGTAACTCATGCATATCTGCACTCAAATACATCTAACATACTGCTTATCTCAATATTGTCCCTACTGCCCTAACCTGTACACATTTCAGATGTCTGTCATCAGAGAATGGATAACAAATTGTACAACCATGTAGTGGAATAGTATATTGCTAATAAAATGCAGCTCTGCACAACACTCGTGGGTCTTACTTGCATGGTGACACTTTCTTGCTTGCATTTGTAGTCTTGTCATCTACTTATGTATATTTCTCTCTCTCAGGAGGGAAAGTGGTATGACCAGCAAGAGACACTTAAGGTGGTCTGAGGGGGTGACATTGTTAGGTTTCTCCAACTTAGAGATTGTAGCACAAATGTTCGCTTAAAAATTACTCATGAGAAGGGGCTGAGGATTTAGCTCAGCGGCAAAAGCGCCTGCCTGGCATGCGCAAGGTTGCGAATTTGGTTCCCAGTACCGGAGAAAACCAAAAAAAAAAAAAAAAAAAAAAAAAAAATTACTCATGAGAGTGCATGCCTATACTCCCTGCACTCAGGAGGCTGAAGCAGGAGGGTCACTGTGAGTTCAAGGCCAGCCTAGGCTGCATAATGAGTTCAAGGCTAGCCTGAACTACATTGTGAGACCCTGTCTCCAAAAAAATTACTCATGATACCAGATAATTTGACTTACATACTCTCTGGAATATAGATTTCATTTTTTAAACTTGAATACTAACAAAGGTTTTGGTTTTCATAAGCTAGCATTGAAATAACTCCCCAAATTCTTCCAGAACAAACTATCATCTGACATGTAGGGCTTTGCCTGAGATGAAATTTTGCCTAGGAACTTATCTGTGAATAAGTAATACATGCATGTTCCTTACCCTATCCTGACATTAACGTGACCTCTTGCACTGTGGCTTGCTGATTTCTACTCACTAGTTCACCTAGAATTTTCCCAACTGTATGAGGAGAATAGGGCAAGTGCCTAGCCCTAGAGGGATGTGGTAAATATTAAGCACAAGGACAAGTCCTATATAGCCAGGGCTCACATCCTTTGCTGCAGTTATGTTCATAGGCAGGTACCTCAGGACCACAGGAATCAGCAGATGCACTTGGTTCATCCTTCTGGAAGGTGGTTTACAAATCTATTTTGCATTTAAAAATACGAACATATTATAGAATATAAAGAAAATTCCTATGACTTCTTTAATCACTCACATTCTCATTACTTACTAACATTTTATTGAATATTCTTCCAATTAAATACTGTTCTTAGTTTCTCGAGTGATTTATATATATGGAAGGCAACACAAGCATA